CCAGGCCTTCCGGAAAGCCTTCAAAACCTGGCTGTGCCGGCAGGCCTGGGGTTGATGAGTTCCCCTCCCCTCTCGACTTGTATGGCTGTATGACTCGTGTGTATTTTAATTACGTGTATTGTGTTTGTATCCCCTTTTCCCCTTTTGAGTTGTTCGCCGCCCTGAGTCCCTCCCAGAGAAGGGCGGCATACAAATAAAACTAAATCTTAAATCTTAAATCTTAAAACCTAATTTGCTCCCCAAAACTGTCTGTTCCTATTACCATTCTGAACACCTCCAAATATTAGGAATTGGAGCGGGAAGAATCTTTTACTCTTATTTCCACTCTTAATTGCCCAAAGCCTTTTGGGGGTCCCAACCCCCAAGCCGCAGCCCACTACAGGACCATGACCTATGTGCAACCAGGCTGTGAGCTGGTGCAAACACACACAGCTCATGTGAGCGGCGGGCCAGCACAAATGTGCAGATGTATAGTTCGACTCATGCAAATGGTGGGCCAGTGCGCACACACGAGCTCAACTTGCAGTCGAGTTGCATGTGCATGCACATACATGCCAGCCACAGCTCACACAAGTCAAGCTGTGTACGTGTGCGTGCACGCTGTCCCATTGCTGCACGGCTCAGTTCCCCTCTCCCCCCACCAGCTGGTCACTAAGTCATAAAGGTTGGGGACTGCTGCTTTAGATGGTCAGTTGTAGCCTCAAACTTCCCAGAAACTGCTCTCCTACCACTGTAAGCAATTTTATCTGAGGTTTGAAACTAATATATATATAAATAGAAAGGGGAAGGATAATAAATGTAGAAAGTAGAACTGACCCAATTATAAGGAGCAAGAAGACACTACTGATTGCTGATTACCAATTTGTAAACATATAAATTACCTATTTTATTGAACTGGGGGAAAAAAATATTTGTCATCACATGAACTCTATTGGAAATCTATACTTAAATTTTAAAAAGTTTGTCTTTTGCCTTCTTAAATGTATGCCTTGTGCTCTTTGGGGTGCTAATTTCCAACATGTTTGTCAAACATGCAAGGATATCATGGGACTCTTAAAGTATTGAGATAATCATTGCTTAAGACAGATTCTGATCAAGTGGTCATACTGCCAAATGTCAAATGTATTCCTAGAACTGAAACATGTTTCCTCAAAGTAGCATAAAATTATGTCATAGTGGAGTAATTGAAAATAAGACAATTGCCAATGATAACACTACTATCATTACTATCTTGCAATTAACCCAGCAACTGACTACAGAAGAATGGGTGAATCTGTCTAGAACTCCAAGACAAGCAAAATCTCTCTGATTTGTCTTTATTCTCTGCAAGGATGCATCTGAAATGAGATTTGGATTACCTGGGCTTTTCTCCAGGATTGTTTCTGCGTCTGCTAAGGACTCCAATATGTTTTCAGTTAAATCTGGGCACTTCCCAATCACTGCATAACCATTCCAGATATACATCATTTCCTAAAAAATATTGAAATATAATGTACGCTACTGGAGACATTTTCTTCCAAAATATATGAGTACATCAGATAACTATTTGAGAAGTATTTTTGTTAAGTTTGTTCTGTCAGAATTTTCTTTTTGCTTCTTGCAAAACTCTGCCAACCAGCAATTCTTGATCTACATATTGTCTGCCTCACTGAGAGTATGTTGTTATTTCCCCAGAACTTTGAAAACATATTTTATTTATTTGAAATAATTTATTTCAACTTTTAATCTTCTACCTTAAAAGGCCAAAGCAAAAGCCACCCTGAGTCACCTTATAGGGGACATGAGCAGCGTAAAAATGTAATCAAATAAATAAATAAAATTAATAGTAGGAAGTGTTGGATTAAGGTGGAAGAGAATGTAATTCCTTTCTGTTAAAATCAGATAAATTTCCTCTTTCAAATGACTCTTTTCCATTAAAAAGCTCTCTACTTTTTAGGTCTGTGTGGTGTGTGTGTGTGTATGTGTGTTTCTCTTAACCTTGCTTTTCTTACTCATTATGCAAATCCAATCTGGAAGAAAAACAGTAAATGGGAGAGTGATTTTAAAATTAAAGAAAACAGAATATATGAATAGGATTAAACCAGGGTGCATCCATGAAACCAGTAATTCCATGTCCAAAATGAGCATTCATAAGAATGGATCTGTTTTCTCCCAAATAAATTATTCAAGTATATTAAATAAAAAATGAAAGACTTACTTGCATAATAGAGCTATGAAGCAGGACCATTTTACCTTAGCTCCCAGCTGGCAGCAATTTGCACTTAGCAAAACACTAGTGCTTAGTTTTATTACTATAATATTTTTTCCCAAATCACATCCATATTTCTATTGCAAAGACCAGCTGGCTGGCATACCTGTTTTTCAAGCCAATTTCTGGCTGTTTTGGGGGGGCATTTTCAGCCTGTTTTTGACCCCAAATGCCCATAAAACAGCCTGAAAATGGTCCAAAAATGCCCTTGGGGGGGGGGGTTCGGGCCGTTGCCAGGCCATTTTCTGGCTGGTTTGGGGGCCATTTTCAGGCTGTTTTTTGGCCCCAAAATGGTCAAAAAACACAGTGAACATGGTCTGAAAAACACCCTTATTGGGGGGGGGGGATTTTGGGTTGTTTTCAGGCCGTTTTCTGGTGCCAGCAAAAACCAGCTGGCTGATGCGCATGTGTGCACGGGAAACCAGAAGAGCAGCTGGCAAAGGCGCGTTTGCCCACAGAGAGGGCTCTGCGTGCCATCTCTGGCATGTGTGCCATAGGTTTCCCATTACGGTTCTAGCCTGTCTTTCTCTGACCAATCCTCATCATCTTGTAGCTGCTTCCTGAAGAGCCTGACTTAGCCTCAAAGCAGTGCCCAATCTGGTATGTGAGAGCAGGCAAGGGTTCCAGAGTCAATTGATGCAAAAAGAAAGGCTTGGCTCTGTTTCCCAGCCAACTACCACCTTTTTTCCTCAAAAAAGAGGCTGAAAATCTGGGTGCATCTTATACATCGAATACAGCATTTTNTATTAAAAAGGGTATTTTGGAAGGACAATCAATTATTAAAGAAAATGACATGCTACAATTTCATCAACCACAAAAATATTTAATATTGCAGCCAAAGTACAAAAACTGGCTTTGTGTTTCTATGCATATATTTCACATCTGGTACAAACAGTTACTACATGTATTGCATTTGCGCTAGTAAAGTTGGCAATTTCTTACTCAAAGTTGCCTTCTTTAAAACTGGAAAATATTAAACCATTTCTATTTTCAAGATCAAGCAAGTAATTTCTATTGTGGGAAAAGATTCTCTGGTCTAAATCTAAAAAGAAAAAATTATGTTTTAATTTTGACAAAAGGTCTATCTAACCCGTGTTCTGTCACAGGATATTTAATTAATTGCACATTGAAATAATAAATCACATATTTTCAGGTTTCTACGAAAATTGAAGGTGGTTACTGACACATTTGTTTCATGTAATATACCAGCAAAGGTACAAACTGCACTTGTGAAATTAATTCAGTTAAGTATACAAAATGCTGAAGTATATGGTGTTAATTTAACTGGAGAAGAAATTAGCAATTTCTTAAGAACTTTCCAATCAGAGAATAAGTGCAGAACACAAATAAGCTACAATACTGAATTATCTTTAACCTCAAGGCTCTGATTAGTCTAGACCAGGAATTCCCACTGAAAGAAATTGACGCTATCAGGGATAAATCATAAAGTTCCCTTTTGGTAAGAAAATTTACAGGTATTCTGTTATTATAGACTCAGGTAGACCTCGACTTGGAACCACAGTTGGAACCAGAATTTCTGTTGCTAAGCAATGTGGTCTTTTTTTGCTACAGTTGTTAGCAAATCACTGCAGTTATATCAATCATGTGGCTCCAGGATGCTGCAACCATCATAAATACAAATTGGTCGCCAAGTGCCTGAATGTTGTTCATGTGACCATGGAGATGCTGGGGCAAATTGTATATATGAGGCTTGGCTATAAGTCACATTTTTCAGTGCTGTTGTATCTTTGGATGGTCACTAAATGAATGGTTGTAAGTTGAAGTTTACCTGTATTTATCATATAGTTTTAAAAGTTAAAAGTTTCAGTAACTTACCCTGTCTCTCACCTGTGATATTCCACTGACTGAGAGTCAGCAGCTGAATCTATACATGTTTCAGTTTAAAATGCTATCAAGCGTAAAATATTTTGTGAAATAATTTTCCTAAGTTGAATTAATGTCAAGCACCAGGGGAAATCAGGAGATTCAGGCAGTTCAAATAAGTATAAAGATTTATTGCAAGCTTAAGCTCTCTACAAGAATCAGATCAACTAACTGTCAAGGTATATGAGCGGGAGATAAGAGAGATATTCAAGATCGGCTGGACTTAGATCTCTTGTGGGTATGCAGGGACTCGTGACTTATGATGCATTTGATCCCTCCTCAGGCTTAGAATGGTCATCTACAACATCAATTGTTTACTCCTTATTATGGATAATAACACATTAAAAGTATTTTAATAATCTAATTCTTTTCAAATACTTTAAACTTGGCTTTTGTTCCAGAAAATGATTCAGGATTGTTTGCTATAGTTCTTCAATTATTCTAATATTGATATTTATCCTAAAATTCTTGGTAATCAATCAAATTGGCCAAACAACAATATTTCACAGGGTTATTTGCCCTACCTAATTTACATATCAAAGCATGGCTGATTTGGGAATTCTGGGAGTTGAAGTCCACAAGTCTTAAAGTTGTCAAGTTTGGGGACACCTTTATTAAAGGACAGCTGAAAGGTGGGAGGGAAAGAGATTCTGCCTTTTTAAATTATTTCCTTGTGATAAGCAAGCAAGCTTGTAGCACTATACATTATTCTATTTAAGCAATTTAACAGGCAATTCAGTTATTCTTTTAATATCAAGAAAACAAGATCCATCTTATTAGTACTTTTAAAAATTAATAACCATCTGAATCTAATCAAGATGTGAGCAGAAAGTCTTCACGTTCTACTAGTTTATTTCCTGTTATTCACCAACAACATATATTTCAAAATATATGTTAAAACTGGCTGAAAATGGCACACAGAGATAATGAAAAAATACTGTTTTTTAGTGTTGATTCCTCAGAATTTTTAAAATTAAAAACATTTGTGCTGCATGTGGACACAGAAATCATTTTAAAATATTGCCAATAATATCCATCTGTGAAGTTTTGTACACCAAATGAACTGCTGATTTAAAAAAAAACAGTAACATTACAAAACCACAGTTGCTATAGAATCATCATCATCATCTGGGAGAGATCTGGCTTGATGCAAAGCAGCTTGAATTCTGAAGTGTGTCCTTGTTTCCATGGAGTAATTCTTATAATTTTGTCTAAAACAAACAGATATTTGTGATAGGTTTATACCTACAGAGTTTATCATCATCTAGATTTAATAGAGCAATATTTACACAGAAAAAGACAAACATTTTATGTTTTAAAAGGGAATAATATGTAGTGTGTGTATACTCAGAGAGTATATGTGTGTGTGTATGTACATGCACACACACAAATATGTATATATATACCTGGCACCAGTCACAATCTGGGGAATAGGTTTTGTATCTGTATACAAAGTATCTGCTGATTATTTACAGATAATCAGATATGAAACCTTGTTTGTCCCTCATTCACAATTTGCTCAAAGTCTAACAACACTGATTAAAAACCAAATATAAATTTTAGTATAATTTATAAATAAATAACAAATGTATGCTTCAACCCTCATTTACTGAAGTAAATTATATATTTTCAGCAAATCTACTTCAACCCTTCCCATCACCTTATCTACTAATAATAATGAGAAAGATATACTTCAACAGGCTTACTTTGCTCTTTCTAGGATCTTAATTGCTTCTTCTATTTTATCTTGATCCAGATATAATAAAGCAAGTTCGAGCAGCGCATTTGGAATTAAGTAATGATCATACTTGATCTTCTTTTCACTTCAAAGAAGAAATGGCAAGGTGCATGTAATGAAGAACAATAGTTTTACAGGCAAGTATAAGTAAACTTATTCAGAGTTGACAAGAAGAAATTTGGTCTGGTCACATGATGACTTGCTTAATGACTGCATCGTTTAGTGATCAAAAGTCCAGTCCAAATTGTGATTGTAAGTCAAGGACTATCCATATGTAAGTTATACAACTCAAGCCATTTTACCTATTTTAAAACTAAGCTTTTTTTGATCCTGATAGCTACTATCCCAGACTGATGAAGCTATCGGGTTACTAGATAAAGCATGTTTTTATGCTATCATTCTCTCAAGAAAGGACCAATATTCTTTCCAGAATAATTTATATTTTCCTAAAACCCGTCTCCTGATTTTAACTTAGACAGGTTAAAACCTATATATAGATATATATATATATATAAATACATATAATTTATTAACTGACATGAAGAGACTGCTTGAAAACTTTGATATTTAACGCAGCCATTCCTGGTTTAATGTTCATTAGTATCTTCTAGTTTGGAAACTTACTTGAAGTGAATATAAGTAAAGTGATCTTCTGCTTCCGAAATCTTGCCCAGATGTTTTAAGCATAGCCCTTTCAGAAGCTTTATCATGCAGTGGTCATCAACAAGAAAATCTGTAGCTGAAAAATAAAAGAAGATGCACAGGTAATTTTAGATCATGACAAACATCTTGTTTAGGCAGGGAACATGGTGAAACATATTTAACATTCTCATCTATTATTATTATGTCCACACATTAGTTGTGAACATAATTATAACTATTGATAACACATATTCAAACTATCCTACACAATATTTAAATGATACAACATACAATTATTTGAATTAGTTTCATATAAATTCTGTGATCACATGAAGAATTTGCTATTATGTCAGTAATTTTAAATTCCTCGTGCGATCACAGAATTTATGAAGTCACTAACTCAAATAATTGGTGCATTTTGCATCATGTTACTGGCTGGGTAATATATCTAACACGTTGGCTGGGATTATATATATTGATAAGCATATTTTTCAACAGACCACAGTTAAGGAAATTCTGATTTTAAAAAGTGTTTAAATCCAGTTTAAATCCTCCAAGACGGCATGCTGAGCAGTGAGGGGATTTGCTTCTCTTGCCGACAAACAGCTGATTTTGCTGCCAAAGCAAGTTCCTTGGCAACTGGCTCCCTAGAGTGAATGGGAGCAGCTAGGAATGAATTAGAACAACTCCCTGAACATTCCTGGAGGTTGCAAATCCTGGTAGGAGCGGTCAGAGAGTTGGGTCTACATTAAGGTGACCAGATTTTCAGATTGGTAAAGAGGGACACCATTGACGGGGGGGGGGCGGGGGGCATTGATTAAAAATTTTATATTTTGTCAAAAGCTCACAAAAGGCGATTAATGACCCCAGGACTGAAACCATCATAAATACAAATCTGTTGCCAAACAAAATTTTGATCACGTGACCATGAGGATGCTGCAACGGTCGCTAAGTGTGCAAAATGGTCGCAAAGGTCGCTAAGTGTGAAA